AAAAAAAAAAAAAAAAAAAGAAAAAGAAAAAAAAAGCTAATGCTGGTTAAATACAACCCCACTCTTATTCTGCTAAACACATAGCATGCTGATTAATCTCATGACATTTCCCCCTAACCTTAAGTGGGCCTTTCATGTGGTTGGCTATCCAAGCACATTTCCCTAGTCCATTCACTCTCCCACGCTCCAGATGACCATTTTATGCCTTTCGTCTCTCCTCAAATCTCCTTCTCCTTTCCTCACCCTGTTCACAGCTGATGTTCTTGCTTTCTATTTCACCAAGAAAACAGAAGCAAATTAGAAGAAACCTTCCACATTCTCCACCCACCTACCCACTTTTTTCTCTATGCTTATTTGCTGTCTTCCCTCCTGTTACTATGGAAGAACTATCTGTGTTCCTATATAAGGCCAGCCCCTTACCTATGGATCAGATTCCTTCTTCTCCTGCCTCCTTACGGACATTAGTCAGGCAATCCTATCCTCTCTCTCCCAACTAAATTTTTTCTCTCCCTACTGGTTTCATGCTACTCATTCCATCAGAATACAAATAGATGTCCCAAATTGTGGTATAAAAAAACCCTCAACTCTCAACCCTGTATCCTCCTCCAGCAATCACGTATCTTCACACCCTTTTCCATTACAGCAAACTCCTTAGATTTCCTCAGATATTTCCAATTTCTCTTCTCCTATTCTTGTATTCTTGAACCCACTCCAATTAAGCTTTTACCTTCATCCTCTCCCACTCACTGAAACTACTCAAGAGTCCTCAATTAGTGTAAGACCAATGTGTCAGTCCTCAGTCTTCAACTTACCTCACCCCTCTGCAGCACTGAACACAGGTGATCACCACTCTACGTTAGAGTTCTTCCACTTTCTTGGAAATGGTTTCTCTCATTTTTCCTTCCTTACTAGAGGCTCTTTTCAGTTTCCACTGTTGGGCATCCTTCATCTCTCTTGCCTCTACTGTAGGAGAGCCCCAGGCCTCATGCCTCTTGCTAGCTATTCTTACTCCCCAGGTGATTTCATCCAACATGTCATTTTTGATGCCCCCCCCAAAATATCTCTTTAGTCTAAACCTCTCTGCTGAACTTCAGAGTCTGGGAACCATTCATCAATTCATTATTTCTTCATGAATGTCTAACAGGCATCTCAAACTTGTACAAAATCGAACAACTATCTTCCCCCCAACTTGCTGCAGTCTTAGTCTTATCTGCCCAGTTTATTGCAATAGCCTCCTACATGGGCTCCTTTTGCCACCTTTGTCTTCTGCAGTTTGTTCTCAACCCCGAAGCTAGTGATCTTTTAAAAAGGTCAATCAAATTGTACTACTTCTCTGTTCAAAACCCTCCAGTGGCTGCCCATCTCACACAGAGTTAAACCCAAAGTTTCTGTAGTCCTACAATGCTCTCCCCCAGAGATCTAGCTTTCTGACTTCCATGTCCTCCCACTCTGCCTCTCATTTATTCTAGTCCTGCCACCATGGCTCTCTTGCTTTCCCCAAAAAGACCTGTCAAGAGTACTTCTGCTTGGGTGGTGCCTGTGGCTCAAAGGAGTAGGGTGCCGGCCCCATATACCAGAGGTGGTGGGTTCAAATGTGGCCCCGAGCAAAACTTGGGGGGGGGGGAAGTACTTCTGCCTCAGGGCCTTTGCATTTGTTATTCTTATTGCCTCCAATAGCTATTCTCCCCATAACTACTTAGAGTACTCATCATTTTCTTCAGATTTTTACCAAATTATCATCCAATCAGTGAAGACTTTCCTCACTCTACCCCTTTTCCAATTTAAACTATCATTACACTACCCCCACTCTTATTCTTCTTCTATGCTTTGTATTTTTCTTTTTTCTTTCAGGCTAATGTGAGGGTACAGATGGTTAGGTTACAATGTTTGCATTTGCACCACCCAGGAGTTGTGCCATGTTACCCTTATATTGTGCCCATTAGTGAGAGCACACCAATCCCTCTTTCTCCTCCTCACTCCTCCCATGCTTTGTATTTTTCTAAAGCATACTGCATACTATGTATTTCAATATTTTGCTAGTTTATTGGTTTGACTGTCCAGAACAGAAACCCTTTGTCTTTTCTATTTATTGGGCTATTTCCCTAACAACAGAGTCTGACACATAAAAAGAGATCAATATATGAATTCTTACTGGTTTCTCAATTACTTAAGGTATGTTTTGGGGAACAGGCTGAAAGATAAACTCAATTCACAGTATGAAAGGAAAAAATGGCGCTTCTCAACACTTACCTGCTCCCCGACTGGGAGGGTCTCGGGCTGGGGGAGGTGGCCTATTACTCAGTAAAGAGGGGGAGGCTGAGGTGGGTGGAGGCGGTGCTAGGCCTCTGACAGGCCCTGGTGTCTTCCTATGCAAAGAATTATGTCTCTGTGGCAGCTCAGGAGCTGACTCATTAGTGGGACTGGAGGGTCCATTGGGGACCCCAGGAGGCTGACGATAAGGCGGAGGAGGAGGGGCCAAAGACTGGCCACTTGGTCCCGTTCTGATATTCACAGGGGAAGGAGGTGGTTTGACTGGGGGTGGAGCAGGAGGTCCCTCTCGACTAGGGTGAAGCCTTTGTCCAGGTGTCGGAGGTAAGGGTTTCTCTCTGTTGTAGGCTGGGGCTTTGCTGCTGTGCATAGGCAGAGGTGCAGGGGGTGCATTGGCACGCCGCCCTGGGGGTGGTGGGGGAGGGGCAGAGGAGCTGTGCTTCATGCCTGTACTGCTGGTGGTATTGGGCCGAGAAAGGTCTGGTAAAGAGGGTCTCTGCATCCGGGGTAGTTCTGGGAGTGAGGCCCGGCTGCTATCTGTATCATCTTGAGGACGTCCACTGGCTGTAGAAACTGGAGGTCTTGGGGCAGCAGCTCGAGAACTGGGGACTTGCAGGGCTGGCTTACCAGCTACGTTCTCTACAAATACATCAGACAACACTAAGTCAACAGTGCTAGATATATACTTGTCAGTATTGCTATTTCACCCAGCCTCCTTAGTACAACTGGCATGGCAGTAGGGAAAAAGTACCTGCATAGATTTGGATTTTAATCTGGTTTCAAGCTCAGATCCCATTAACAAATAGTACAGATATAAGATGAATAAGTTTCTTTTTTTTTTTCCTTGGAGACAGAGTCTCACTTTGTCACCCTCAGTAGAATGTCACAATGTCATAGCTCACAACAACCTAAAACTCTGGGGCTCAAGCAATTCTCTTGCCTCAGCCTCCAGAGTACCTAGGACTATAGGCGCCTGCCACAATGCCCGGCTATTTTTAGAGACAGAATCTTACTCTAGCTCAGGCTGGTCTCGACTCATGAGCTCAAGCAATTCACCTGCATTGGCCTCCTGAAATGCTAGGCTTACAGGGGTGAGCTACTGCACCTGGCATGTTTATTTTTATTTAAATTTACTTTTTAATTTTTTTTTTTTTTTTT